AAAGAGAATTTTATAATGCGTGAAAGCAAAGTAGCTTGGAGAGATGATAAAACTGACAAACACTTATCCTGACCATTATCGTCGTACCAATACTGGACGATATAATACAGATAAAGAACTATAAGGAAGAAATGACGGATACACGTTTTTGATGTAGAATTATGTAAGATATTATTTTTTACGTCATTTGGTCATGATTAAATTTTGAGGTGGTCGCGGAATGTTAAAGAAAGTACAAAAAGAGAAGAAGGAAAGAAGAGAAAAAAGAAGCAAGACGAAAAAAGAGACAAAAAAAGAAGAGAAAAGGAAGATGAAAAAGAAAGAAGATATGTCTGAACTTTAGTTCTTTATAACCGCTTAAACTTATGATGTGTTAAAGAAACAATAAAGCTTTTAATTGCTTTGATATTCCTTTTCCAAAAAACTTTTTTTTTTTTTGCATTAATCTTATTTTTCTTTTTTTAAGAAAATCTTTTGCGATTTTTAGGCAACCATTTGAAGGTGCCTGGTGCAGCGCAGTTGAAGTGAAACTCTTTGTTTCTCTTATAATACTTTATTGAAGATAGGATAGGCTCAGATAGGCTTCATCAAAACAAGCCTTGGTTACGGTAAGTCACTTGTTACTGACTTGTAGTGGCAAAGATTTCTAAACTTCTACAACTTTATACTCACTGTATTGAACCTACTTGCTAGAAATTCCAACCTTCGAGGCAACTGATGACTCCAAGTCTTTTATATTGACTCATATCTCCCTTATGCAACTCACTTATTCTCCTCAACTAGTAACTAGAACTTTCTAGCAGACAATTTTAAGTTCTCACAGAAATTCTTCCCTCTCTAGTTTTCTTTTGTAAATTCTGCCACATTGATGGTTATCTGCACAATAAGTTTAATAAAAGACCTAATAAGCCTGAACTCTTTCAGACAGTACACTTTAAACTTACCATGATATAAGACACATATTACAAATTCCCAGAAAGTTTGTCATTTGCTTTAAACCATAGTTTGACTTTACCAACCAAACAAGCAATCTTTTCTCTAGAAAAATTGGGGCTCGACAATAACTGTAAATAAAATTTTGTGTATTGCAAAAATGCTTCTGCGGTGATCTTATCTTTGTTCTTTGCTAAACACCTTACACTTTTTAACTAGCTATTTTCAGATGTCTCAAATAGTGCAGTCTATTAAAACCAATTGAAGTGTTGACTTGAGGCTGTAATTTTATAGTTTCTAGCAGTTTTCCAAGTGCTGTTTCACTCTATTTTACAGATAATTTGTTAACTCTTGAAATTCATTAC